GCTGATTGTGCAAAGCAAGTTCATAATATAGTGTATCCTCATTACAGTTATAAACCAAAGCATAAGAAATTTAAATATTTTAAAGTACTAAAATCATCGCTTGCATCCCAGGAACCTTTGGCATGTCCTTTTCCAAAAAATTTACATACACGAAAAAAAAATCATGTACACCCCCCAACCTTGCCCCGTCCAATTATAGATGTTGATAGAAATTTTACAGAAAAAAAGTGTTTAAGCGAAGTACACTTAATATCAACCCATTTGGATTGAGCATATATGCGAGGGTTGATAATATCGGGATAGTTTTTATATACCCTAAGTCTATTTTGTCTTAACAATTGATATTAACGGGAGGTTGATATTAACGAGGTTGATATTAACGAGGGTCAAGTGTATATTACTGTAGAATAGGCAATAATGATTTAAATGTTGTAATGATATTTATATAGGATCACAGAAAAAAAATAAGAGTTTTTCGTTCTCTAGAAGTCCAAAAAATAAAAAAAATACTAATATACAAATACACAAACCGCCATACAATTCTGAAGTTAAACGTATGCGATTAAATTCAAATAATAATGATTAGTTAATAGCTTTAATTATGTAATTGGTCGATTTAATCCATCCGAGTGTTTTTAGTTTATAATTATTAATTATAAATTTTTCATCATTATTAGTTATAAAATTTTCATCATTATTAGTTATAAATTCTTCATAATTATTTAACCCTTAATCGTTTAACTAATTCAACTGCTGTGTTATGTGTTGATATTTGTGGAAAATAAATTTGATGCGTACTATATCCGCTAACAGCGGTAGCATCATAAGCAGCAATATTACTAATGCTAGCACCGGTATAAGGCATTGTTTGTTGTGGGATGCTTGCATTACCTCCAAGCCCTTGTGCTGGAAGGTAATGTTGTTCCATAGAATACACTGGTCGGTATGGCATGCTCAGCATACTGCGACCAACACTCGAAGATCTTTTGTTACAACATGGTTCAGTTTCAACAGCACTGAAGTCTAAAGTCCAGTATGACCCTTTGCCTGAATCTTGACGTGGAACACGGACAAATCTTTTATTTAAAGACAAATTATGTCTAATTAAATTCTATAAAATTTTAAAAATTTTATTTATTAGTATTCGTAACAAATAGAATAGCATATAAAGTTACAGTACATTAATTTTAATAAAAAATGCATACTTTCCAGCCAGCACCAGCAGTCTTATAATAAGGATAATTCTCCATAATCCAATTATAAATTTCATTTAATGTGAGTTTTTTATTAGGAGAATTTTCAATTGCATAATTAATCAAAGTTGCATAAGTATATGGTGATTTTTCAGATACGAGATCTTGAAGATTTTTTATTGGTGACGTGATCATAGTTGTAGCCGAAGATTTTCTATTAGCAAAAGTATCCACTGATGTGGCAACTCCCGATGACACATTTAAAGATGTATTGATAACTTGGGTTGAATTTGATCCAGCCATTGTCGAAGTTTGGGAGTATTGATTGGCATTATACAAGATGGGATTATATGAATCTATACCATTATTATTACCAGCAAGAGTTCCAATAGGTGACAAATGCCGATAATGAGTATAAGATTGTTGTGAAGAGGTTTGTTGTTGATCGGTCGACATTCCTACTAGAGGCAGTCTTGAGTTAGGTAATAATAAAATGATCTGTCAGTTACAGTCGTACAGATGATTACCCAGGGCAGCATTTTGAATTTGGGATCTTTGCTAACACAATAATCCCGAAGAATCATTCTGCTAGTAAAGATCTCAATTATAATATGGCCCAAGCCTTCACTTAAATTTGAAATGAAGAGCTATGGCAACTAAATGCTGTTGTGGTAGATATCACGAACTTCGGGGCTGCCTGTAATCTATGCTATTGCTATACCAAATTCAACATGTCTTTTGATCAATAATTAATTGATTAATTGATAATTTTTTTTAAATTAAATATAATAATAAGGTGAATAATTGTAAGGTGCATAGTATAAGTATCATTTTGAGATAAATTTTAATCTACTTTAGGACAATATTTGTGTAATCTC